GGAGTTCTGAGGAAAAGTCACCGGATCCAAAACGTTAACTCTAATATTTTCTTCACAGATGCTGCCAGATCTGGTGAGCTTTTCTAGCAACCTCCGTTTGTGTTCCTGTATGGTTACCCTTATTCGTCCTCAATGAAGATGAAAGTGGTCATGATAGGCTCACATATTCAATACATACAAAATGAAAGGGAAAGAGCTACATACTTAGGATGCTTACTTGAAAAGTGAAAGGGAATTTACCGGTATTAATTGTCTGTGTTTGAGCCAAATCGAAAAATTAACATTTAGGAGTAGTTGCAGAGGTAAAATAATGATCAGAAATGTCCAAAAATGTTGTTGCCAAAGAACATTGCTACAGCCTTCAAAAATGTGCAAGCAAAAGATGTGTGTCTATGTTGGTCAGTCTATCATATAGAGAAAAGTAACCATCCCTATAAATTGTATTCCCACTGTATGGGCTAACTAGTTAATTGTAGTGCTAGCTGCAGCACCATTCCCAATTCCTGTACTTCTCTCACTTGTTAGCATTTCCCTTGTTTCTTTCTGCCAGTTGTGTGAGGTACGAGTGCAATATATTGTTCTGGTCACTTTGATAGTGTTGCTTTCCTACTCTCTATATTTGTACAGATTATGAAAATGATTTTAAGGTGTTTATCCTTATTTAAGTGCTGATAGCTGAGACTTTACGTTTGCCTGCCTTCATTCCTGTGGTACAACTCCTGCGTTTCAACCTTCTAGAATTGTACTGCATTGTCCAGTGTTGTGAAGGGATAAACACCACAAGATTTTGCTCAGTGGTTAGGGTACCCACTTACGTGCTAATTATGAGAAAACAGAAATGGTAATTGGGCTGGTACATCCTTAGAGCACAGCCATTTACTTCATACTGTTGCATGTCTCTGACCTCAAACATTTCTATACAAGCTGCACAGGTAATTTCCCATTATTACCTCAGAATATATTCTCGGGTCGATTTTAAATCTTTCACCTCTGTGAAGATCTGCACTTGCAAGAGATCCTAGTAACAAATTTATATTATTCATTTTTACCTATGTTTCTACTCAACCTGCTCAGGCGTGTTATTTACATACCTCTGGAGCAGGTGGCACTTGAACCTGGGCCTTTTGGTCCAAAGGTAGGGACTCTACCACTGCACCACAGGAGGACTGTATTATTCATCTTTATCCTTTTTTTTGCAGTACATAATCATATACTGTAATTTTTGTGGACCTATTATATATAATCATTCAAATTAGAGGGTGAGTTCTTTGACAACCTCAAGTAAAAGTAGAACCTCATATTTTGTTCCTTTTACACTACTATGTGATTTACTGTTTAATTTCTCCACATCTAAAGAAGTACTGAAAAGGATTTTCAGTTATTGAACTTGAAGTAAAAAAAAAATGTGCAATATATCCAGCACCTTCCTCAGATTTGGTTGAAGAGAACAATTCTGGACTTGCACTCAAAGCATTAACACCTTCTTTCAAAAACTGTTGGATGTTCTGCACCTTTCCAGCATTTGCAGTTTTTTTTTGTTGGTTCTAGTATTCTAACCTCTACGGCTCTGATATTGCAAGAGCTTAGATTGTATGTCTCCCTGCTTCTCAAAGAATATTGGTCAGGTACGATAACTCTAATTATTCAGGAGAAAAGCAAAAGGTTAGTTACTGAAATTAATTGCATTTAATTCAACAAAGTACTCGTTACTTGCTTATCTATGAAGATACAAGAAAATGTCAATAAGAATAATCAACTATTAAGACAGCCAACATCAATGGGACAAGAATGGAGCTGAGCCTGATAGACTGGGGTCAATGTTGGCAGATGAAAGGTAAGTGAGCAATGGGCTACCTTTAAAGAGGAGATGGAATCAGGTACATTAGTTTTCCTCAAATAAAGCCATAGCTCGCTGGATGACAAAGGGAGGTGCAAACTAAATTAAAGAAAAACAGTGCATATAACAAATATTAGGTTGGAAATACAACACACAGCCAAGCTGAATGTGGGATGTTGACAAGACAAATGCAAAAATAAATAAGAGAAGCAAAGAGGGATTAATGAAAAGACTGGCATCTAACAAACAGAGAAATTCCAATGTCTTCTAGAGGGAGATTAGTCATAAAAGGGTATTTAAAGGAGGAGGAGGACTGACTAGAGACTGAAGAGGGGATTTACACAGAGGGATGAGGCATCACAGAGGGATTGAATGGATATTTTTCATCTGTCTTTACCTGCAAGGCAGATGCTGGTCAATGAGATGGCAAACAAAGCATCCTTTCACCCTGGCCTGGAGACTCACCACAGCTGATTCTTACTCTATACTAATTTCTAAAGTAAATGGATCACCAGTGACTGAACTGGTGACTATGAATGTCAGATTAAGTGATGATGCCACACCATCAGTGCTTTGCTGATGCTGGCTTTATTGTCCGGAGGTTCCTGAGGCTAGGGTTGTAGTACTTCATCAGTCCCTGAAAGCAACGACTCAGTGGAGGAAAGTCAATGTGAGAAAAAAATGGAGTGGCTTGGGAAGCAAAGGGGTCCATGTCACACTATTAACAGCTGGCCCATGTGTCAAAATTCAGGATGTGAGTGCTCTTGGAGTTGAGAAGGGGCATACAGCAGGAAGATAACTGTCATGCTCAAAACTCCCAGTGATGTTTGATATCACAGATCCTGTTGCTGCTCTTTTCATTGTGGAGAGAACGATGTACTCCATAAGACTTGGGAAATGCAAGTGACCTTGTCCCCAGTTAGTTTGCTTTATTCCTTTTCATTGTGTGCTATCTTGCTGAACCGAGGGCAGAATTTCACGGGTTGTATACTAGTATGTTTGGGTTATCTTCCCACCTTAGCTGAGATGTATGGAGGGAATGACAGATGAGTGAGAGGCTGATAAGTATTTGAGGGTGAGGTAGGCTTGAGTTATGAGTGCCACAGAGGGCTGCTGAGCTAGCGATGAGGCTGTGGAGCCTTGGACGATGTGAGCAGTTGTTGGTGTGGAGTTGAACCATGTTCAAACACGTTAGAAATGCACCAGGGTTAATAAAATGGTAACTTTCCTTGCAAGATTAACTGAGTTTAGTCAGCTTTCATGTTTTGATGCCAAACTGTGGCATGTGATTTGTTTCTCACTACATGCCTGTTCTGGTGTTGTCAAAGACGATTAAGGTCATAATTCAATGGTAATGGGTGTGACTAATGTTTCTACTATCATCCAGTTCAGACTGTTTATTGTCTAGTCATCCAACAAACACAGCAACTCCATTATGATTTTTCAAACCAAAAATCAGGTGGCCATTTCTTCACATACTTGAATATGCTGCAAAGTCCACATACCATGGTATTTTATGCAATCTTGATGAAATAAATATCTCTTGAAAGTCATTGTGGAAATCAGAGACTTGCAAAAACATGATTCAGTAAGAATTCTGCATTCAGTATCATAATATGTAAGCAATGCGCCACTTGGGATTATTGGGCTACTGGATAACATTTGTTTTAGTGAGCCGCATTCATTACACATTCCAGGTTTACCGCATGGCTCCATAATTTCATGCCATTCCTTCGGCAAAATTATTTTTTAATTCAATCCTTTGTATTTTCATCTGTTCCATTTCGATCAATTTCACTTTTTCTCTCAGTCTTCTACGTTCTCTTCCTGAGAGTGTTGTCTTTTTCCTTGGATATGATCCCAAACCTACCAGGTACCGTCTGCAATGTTGTAGAAGTTATTATTGATGAGCTTAGAGAATGAATGTTGGCTGTCTATTTGACATGTTTGAGAGGCAGGATGAGGAAGATCTGCCCTGATGAGTGTTAATGTTGTCCTTGCCCAAAACGTTCACATATGTATTTCTATCAGTTATCACTGCATAATAATTCAAGTGGCTTGGCTGATTTTCCCCTCCATAATTGGGAAGCTAATGAAACTGGTTGTAGCATCTGAAATTTCATTGCAAAGAAATAAATAACTTGCATTCATTTAGCATTTTCTACAATCTCAGGATATCCTAAAGCCTTTCCAGCTAATTAAGTGCTTCTGAGGTGTAGTCACTCTGGTGCAACAAACAGGACAAGCAAATTACTTACAGCAAGCTCCCCCAAGATTCAGGTTGAAAGAGGTTTCTTTCAGTTTTAAATATTTCAACTATTTTCACCCTTTATCTGTTGAGTTATCAGAAGATCTTTAGCCTTTTAAAAATGATTTTAACATTCATCAATGTAGCACCCTTGACAAAGTGACTTTTATTTCCAGAGGTTCCTGCCTGCCTTTTATCAGCAATGGCATTGCCTTGAGAAACTCCTTACTGTTTCTTTTGACATCTCAGACACTCACTAGAATAATACAAAGTCCACGGAACTTGTACCCCAATAATTAAGTTTAAGAACTTCTAAATCACTTGTAACATGTTTCTGTATAAACAACTTCTGGTTTTCTAGCCAAGTGGTTTCTGTTAAGTCTGGCAAAATGTAATAGACAGCAGACACTTAATAATTATTTCAAATGATTTCTGAATGTATGTCATCAATGTTATAGGATCTTTGTGGCTATGTCATTTCATATTTCTGTACATCCATGGCATTAAGCCTTTTTTTAAATGTCTGAACTTTAAGTAGAAATTGAAACCGTAAATAAATATGCATTGCCTTGGAATTGAAAGTAAATTAAGTGCATGTGTAAAACAGGTAGTTTTTTTTTATTTAATCTAATCTATGGTATTACACAGAACAGGATAAACTGAAGAAATTCATCCAATAGCAGACATAACTGTTTTATTAAATTACTGATTGGTGATGATAAAATCTGGAGGACTTGATTTTCTCAGCCTTTACTGACTTCTTTGCAATTAAGTTAACAATTTTTCACTGGCTGAACCCCTTCAAGGGAATATAAAGCACATCATTCTCAGCACCAAGTACCTCTTCAGTAATTGCTGGGTTTCTGCATTGACTCACTTGCACTTCTTCTATTGTCATTTTTTTTTTCTCCACAGGAAAAGCCTTACCAGTGCTCAGAATGTAACAAGGCTTTTAGTCAGAAGAGGGGTCTCGATGAGCACATGAGGACTCATACAGGAGAAAAACCGTTCCAGTGTGATGTAAGTAGCTCAGTCAAATTTTAAAACATTGATCATGCCACTTACAACCAAAGAAGCACTTGATCCAGAAATGTAATGAATCAGACATGAACGTTGGAATTAGGAGCAGAGGGAGATCATGTGGTCCATCAAACTTGCTTGTCCATCCAAACAAATCACAGCTGATCATCTACTTCAATGCTATTTTTCCCATTGTCTCCATGTTCTTTGATTTCATTGGCATTCTGTCTTGAACATGCTCAACATGGGGCATCATTTCCCAGATTTGTTCCAGATAATCCCTTTTTATCTCAAAATCTGGCCTGTGACTTTTCCAATTCATTTGAATTTTGTGGTAGCAGTTGATAAGATTCTTGCAACAAGCTGCATGCCACATCATAAAATTAAGATTAAAAATATACTCTAAGCTATGACTGTTGGATGTTATAGAGTACTGTATGAAATTGATACATTATTTTGTTGGTGATGCAAGTGAAGAAACTTCTAGCTAGCAATATCCAAATTGCTATTCAGTACTTTCATCTTATTTGCAGATTGAATCAAGAAAGTAAACCAACTCAGCTTGAAAAGATTATTAAATGTTTCATCTCAAATATATAATGAATAGGGGACATTAGATGACTTCACGAAGTTGAGTTAGTTATTGTCTTGATTTAATTTAAAACATGAAAGGACTGTATGCAATCTGCATATTCCTAGTACTGTAGCCAAAATAAATTGTGTTGTATCAGCAGGATGTATTGTTACATCAACATTCATTAAAGGCTCTCATTAGACTTGAATTTGTTGATGATTGTGTAGCTGCAACTTTGATCCTAATTACCTGGGGAGCTAAATCTAAATATGTGGTTTAAGATGGAACAACTGGTTATGATTACATTGACACACAGAAGTAAAACTCGTATAAAACAAAAATTACATTGTACCAACCTTGCATTATCTAATGGGTTTTGTTTAGTCATGTATTCCCATTTCTTCATAATGAGACAGTTCCCATTATTGCCATTGTCAGCAAGGCTTTTAATGCATAATTCAAACTAGCAAGGCATGCAAATCATGAGAAAGATACATTACTGCTAGAGACTACAACCTCATATACCTTGGGTGATCTGCACATTAATTTTTCACATTTGTTGCATATCTTTTGAGCTAAGGGAAATGCTATGCACTAAAAAAAGTATAAATTATGTAGCAAGAAGCTTATACACTGAGGAAATTGTGATTTCACTGATCTTACCCAAGTATTATGTTAGTACTGCCACTGAGAATTTCCAAGTCATTCTTTTGCTGTCTCCAACAAGACCAATAAATGTGTATCAGATAGACAGAAGTAAACTAATGTGGATTCTGGAAATCCAGGATTAAAATAGAAAGTGCTGAAACTCTCTGGAACCCTGGAGCAACACTCAACGTGTGCCCATCGTCCTTGGATACTGGGTGGTCACCTGCAGGGGTCGTGGCCTCTGGTCACAAACAAGCTGGACATTGTAAGAGTAGAATCATAGAATACCCACAGTGTGGAAGCAGGCCATTCGGCCCATCGAATCCAGACCGCCTCTCCGAAGAGCATCCCCCACCCCCGACTCATCCCCTTACCCAATCCTCTTAACTGAGCATTTTCCAAGGTTAATCCACCTAGCCTGCATATCCCTGGAAACTCTGGGCAATTCAGCATGGCCAATCCACCTAACCTGCACATCTTTGGACAGTGGGAGGAAACCGGAGCACCTAAAGGAAACCCACGCAGATACGGGGAGAATTTGCAAATCCACACAGTCTCCCTAGGCTGGAATCAAATCTGGGTCCCTGGCACTGTAAGGCAACAGTGCTAACCACTGAACCACTGTGCCACCTGTAAATCCCTTCCTTTTCAGAAATGTTGAGAGATGACGCCAAAGACATGTGTGCCAGAGCTCAGAGGAAGAAGTCTACCCCACCCGCTACACACCTCATCCATATATTTACCATTTCATCTTACAGGACTGTATTTGTGAATGTAATTCAAGTGGACTGGGGTGCTAATTTGCCCTGTCAGTGCCTGATTGAGGAATTTGATGTTGTGAAATTGGGAAGTCTGTCCTGATGATAACCAATCCCTGCCCTGCTGTCATGACCTCCTTCCCAAGATCACATTCCCTCAGTCCCCTTCAGCATCAGTCACCTCTGTGTGTGTCCATCCTCCATCCAAGACCTCAGGTAAATGCAGTTCTGGTGACAGCCACTGTTATCCCAGTGGCACTGCTGAGTGCAGAAGAGCTGCTAGCATCTGATTGACCAGGGGGTGGGGCCATGGGAAGGTCCCACATGCAACTGTTAGGTGCCTGAGTAGGACAAGATGCATCAGGCTTTGGCTGAGAGCCCACAAGATTCCACCTAGCAACCAGAAATTTTAACTGTGTCTCTTTCCATACTTGCTGCATGGTCTGCATATTATTTCTACCACTTCCTATTTTTACATCAGTTAGAACTGGGGTAACACAGTGTGGAGCTGGAGGAACACAGCAGGCCAGGCAGCATCAGAGGAGCAGGAAAGTTGACGTTTCGGGTCAGGACCCTTCTTCAGAACATTTCTTCCCAGCTTTGCTGATGCTGCCTGGCCTGATGTGTTCCTCCCGCTCCACACTGTGTTATGGCTGACTCCAGCATCTGCAGTTAATACAGTTAGAACTGAATCATCTGGATGGTCTGTGCTGTAAACTCAAAGTTTGGGAATGAAATTGAATAGCCACTGACAATAATACAAGGACCATGATGTTCAATTAACCACACATGTTGGACTTAATGCAGACAGAATGGTAACTTTGCGCCAGAGCAATTAAACGCTTTACTTCTCCCACACACACATTGCACTGCTGCAAGCCTCATCTCCATACCGCAGAGATTGGACACTTGTTCAGCTGGCTCACAGCACAGCATTCACTGACATATTTCCCTCTTTCTTGAAGTTATTGCACAACTGAAGGCAGCAGGTACTAACTGGAAGACCACCACCGTTTCGAATATTGACGGTGAATCATTCTTAGGAGGTAAAGATGGGATCCACTAAGCAAAAGTGGGCTGCAGCTGGAATATATTAAAGGATAGCACAGTTGCAAGAGGGTGAGATTGCACATGAGTTTTGCTGCAAACAACTCAGATGACAATTTCTGTGGAGCAGGAGATAAAAGTGAGAAGGTATTTGCTACAAAGTGCTTGGTACACAGGGAATCTCCCAGCTGATGTGAAACATGGAGTGATCCTGAATTAACTTAACACTAACATTTATGCAGAATTTAAATGCTGTCTTTTCCAGCATGGAAGTGGTAGTTAACTGCATCAACACAGTTCTGGACACACCCTCAATACGACATTTGATGGTTGGCATCTTGGCTTCCATTGCATTAACAATTAGTGTTTCCCAAATGTCTGAGTGGAGTATTAGAAGCTCAGAATGAAGCTGTGCAAGTTCAGACTGTTGCCATCATGACTATGGATAGCAGTGTTTAAAGGGGCTTGTGCGTTCTGACAGTAAACAGCAATCGTATCCTGTCACATAGTTCTAGGATTGCTAAGGCCTGGCCCAGAGGGAGTGGCAGTCATTCCATGCTGAGTCTGTTGTCCTCTCTCAGCATAACACTGGCACCATTGCCCTCATTGCCTGTGAAAGGCTTCCACCAGCTAAGCTACGGTCAGTGGGATAATGTTGGCTAGAGCACCAGGATAGGCATAGGTACATGGAAAACAGGCGCCCTGGAATAGACAAGACTACTCAGTTTTCTGTTTTTATTCATTATTGCATGATTACAGTTCTAAATGAATTTTGGAGTGTTTATTTTTTGCTGGGTTTTAGTTTTAATTGCAGCCAAGGGATGATGCGTTGCTCAGTGGCAGAGAAAAGATGAGGAGTGTGGGGTTGTTGGTGAATGAGAAAGTGGACTTGCAGTTTCACTGATATTTCTCTTGAATTAGGTTATCCATCTACAAATGGTGTGGAAATGGGATGTCCAACTTTTTACTTTCTTTCCTTTCCTTTCCCCTCCATCCTTATCATCATCATTTTCCAGTTGCTCCTCCTCTTCCTTTTGCTCCTGACCCTCATTTTCTGTGGCTAGCTGGCCTCAAGGCCTGCATTCCCATAATGCTGAAGCTACACATAATGCAGCCGATTATCATGAATCTTTACACCTCTCTGCTGTGTTTTCCTGTGTCGTTAAGGCAGCAAATACATTTCAGTTTGCTACCCACCTTGTGTGCATGGATTAGAAACTGGAGTCAGCAGTTACATTTTCAATGGAAAGCCCTTGCCAAACTTTGGCATCAAAACTACAGTTGGTATTGAATGAACGTATCATTGACAGTTGCCCAAATGCTGAACTGCTTGAGACACTGCATTCAACAACTGGGCATTGTGGGAATGGAATCCTTTTTCTTGCTCGATCCTGACAGAATTAACATGCAATGTTACAAAGCAGATTTTTGGGAAGAGGCCATTACTGACCAAGCAGCATTTATTGTCCATCCCTAATTGCCTAGAGGGCAGTTCAGAGTCCAACCACTTTGCTGCAGGTCTGAAGGCACATGTAGGCCAGATGAGGTAAGGATAGCAGTTTCCCTTCCCTAAAGTGCATTAGTGAACCAGATGGGTTTTTCCAACAATGGGTTCATGATAATTAATAGATTCTTAATACCAGATATTTTGTATTTAAATTCCACCATCTGCCGTGGCAGGATTTGAACCCAGGTCCCCAGGATATTATCCAGGTCTCTGGATTAACAGTGCAGCAATAATACCACTAGGCTATTGCCTCACCCTTAGATATTTGGAAGTCAATGGCAGTTTGTACTATGGGAAGCTTCTAAACTGAGCAAAATGGCTAATCTTCATTGGCTCATCTCTTGGTAAGAGTGAATGAAATAAATTTAGCTGTCTTTGAGCAGAGAGCCTCAGTGACCACTCTCTTTTTGCAGCAGTGGAGGGCAAACTGTGAGACATTGCCTGTATCTCCAGTACCTGCCTGAAA